GATAAATGAGTGGCTAGGTTTTACCCAATTCTAGCACTCACTTTAGTATTCTTTGGAGTAGCTGTGATCTAATCTTCTGACTTCACATGTACTCCAGCCATCTAATGTGAATTCTCAAGGTTTCCTCCTCCCAACTCCAAAGTTTCCTAGCTAACACACCATGCATTCCTCTCTTTTCCCTTCACTAGTCCTCCTTCTCAACAATGTTCTGGATCTATGGTCTTGAATGTTCCACTTTCTTGTTATGGATTATCTCTACCACATTTTCCCCTTTGTTTAGCATGAGTATCTTACATCTATACCCTCATACCACTATCAGCTCCCCAAAATGTTTATTCATTTTGAAAGACAGAGACAAAGCACAAGCAGGGTGGGAGAGAGGGGGGGTGAGGACACAGAATCGAAGCAGGCTCAGGCTCAAGCTGTCAGCACAGAGCCTGATGGGGAGCCCAAACTCCTTGAACCCATGAGATCATGACCTGAGCCCAGAGGCCGGCCAGCTCAACCGACCAAGCCACTCAGGTGCCTCCAACTTTGTTTTAATGTATATCTTTGACTACAGATAGAGACAGAGTATGGCCGGGGGGAGAGGCAGAGGGAACAAACACAGAATCTGAAGCAGGCTTCCAGGCTCTGAATGTCAGCACAGAGCCTGGCAAGCTGAGACTTGAATCACTGGGCATGACCTGAGCTGAAGTGGGACACTCAGCCAACTAGACACCAAGCCCTAAAAGTCATAAACTTTCTAATGGAACTTTTATCAAGGGCCTGCTTGATGTCTTCCTAACTGACCCTCTTTTCCAATTCTCTTATTTTGCACTAAATAACTCTCTTGTAAAGTACCTCAATTTGATATGGCATTAAAGAGTATGTACATTTATACCAAGCTGACTATAAATAAATAAGTTCATCCATGGTAGATAGGACATAACTCTGCATCATCAGCTGTCAGTCATAATGTCTTCCCAACAAGAGGATAACAGTAAGAGTGAAGGTACGGTATTACATACTCTGACAAATTCTGGTACTGGGCTCACTTACAGTGTTCACCACATTTCAAATAGCCTGCTATTCCTTTTAAAGAAACCTGAGTGTATTTACACCTTCCAGGTAGAAACCTCCCTAAACACCCACTTACTTTCCTTTATTTATAGTCTCCACTGTTCTCATCTGACTCCTCTTTGTCTTTTCTTATTTCCCTGAGGTTCCTTGGGTCTTACAGTATCTTGAAAGGAGACTAGTCATTTCCTTTGGTGGCCTCTCAATTTAATCTGTTTTGCTGACACCACATAGATACAACTTATCTCCTTTTCATCTCTTTTCTCTTTTACTATGCATTTTAATAGGTGATTTCTTTGAATGTTAAGAATATATCAATTATTCCTGTTTTAAATCAACATTCTGTCTGACCTCTTAGTAAAATACAGTTCTTACCTTCTGTCCATTTAATATGTACCTTTCTGATCCACGAAAAACAAATGAGGAACATATTTGTTTGGACTCTCAGACATACTCTGCAAGGTGGCATCAATAATGAGTTGTGCTTAAAGATTTCCCTAATCCTTTTCTAGAAAATATCTGAATTTCCGATTTTAATAACAATCAGACTTACAAATAAGAAAAACATATTGAAAACCAAAACATTTAAATGAAACCTCATATATGCTCTCTTGATTAAGTGGCCTTTTAATCTTCATTTTATTAAACTCTGTACACTACAGACATGGAAGGCCAGAATACTTTCATAGACAGAAGACTGACATATGCATTTCAAAAGGAACTATGAAAACACCTTACTTTGCATTTCCGATCAAATAAAGGACATTTAAAATAAATTCTTTAAATAAATTCTTTAGGAGGCATGGGTGGCTCAGTCGGTTAAGCGTCTGACTTCAGCTCAGGTCATGGAATCTCACAATGGAGTGGGCCGAGCCCCACGTCAGGCTCTGTGCTGACAGCTCAGAGCCTGGAGCCTCATTCTGTCTCCCTCTCTCTCTGCCCTTCCTCCTCACATGCTCTCTCTGTCTTTCAAAATAAATAAACGATAAAAAAAATTTTAAACAAATTCTTTAAAAGTATACTTGCTATAAATTTAAACTACTTCTAATAGAATGGCCCACATTTGTTTTAGTGTTAATTCGATATCTCATATGACTAAGAAACTTGGGAGTATATCATGTTGAGTATAAAACAAAAGAGCACTGTTAGCTGCTGCTTCATTTAGGTAAACAAAGGCTTGAAATTTTTTTTTGATGGAAAAAAAGAAGGGTTGGATCAGATAGCAAAGTAACTTTTCTTCAAATTATGGTTAACTAATAGTAAAAAAAATTTTAGATGTAAAATTTATGAAACTCTTCAAAAAGTGTTGTAAGCTTTTAAAGGCAAATTATAAGAACATTTATTTACTATACCTAAAAGTATTGCCAGCACTTATCTCAGGTATGCACATTTTCTTTTCTACACACACAACAATGATTATGATGATGGAGTGGGTCTTCTAACTAGTCACTCTGGAACATTAGAGTGAAATGATGATCCGATGGTTCCAGAATGTCCCCTCATGAATCTTCACATGACTGGTCCTTCCTCATCTTTCACTTGGCAGCTTTTGCCACACTCAGATCTTTTCACGACTACCAAAATTCCTACTCCCACTCTCATCCTCATCCTCCGCTGAAGCTCCCCAATATTCTCTAACCTAACATTCTCCATTTTTTTCTTTCTAGGCATTTATACTG